TCCGAGACGAGAGGTTCGAGATCGTTGGCGGGAAATCGCGATGATACGGACGGAAATCCTCAAGTTATCGGCGGGAAATCCCGAGTTTTTGGCGGGAAATGGAGGATACCAGCGGAGAGGTTGGCGGGAATGGAACCATTGGCGGGTAAGACCCGGCCTGAAGGTGGTCTCCCGGAAGGAGGCTCTGGGAGTGACCTCAATGCCTCGCAGGTAAATGGTATTCTGGGATTGACAGGAGAATCCTCTGATGACGTCATGGAGAGCTGAACCGTGATTGGATAGTCAGGCTGCGTTAGACCCTTGCAGCCACCAATCAGAAGCAGCATACCGTGTGCCGTTTCTCCACGCGTGCCCATTGGCATCTCCGCCCTGAGAGCCCTCACCAACAAACTGCAGGCCTTTCTGGCAATGTCCCAGGGATACAGGGTCTGGTGAGCACACTGAGGAGATATTGCAATTCCTACTGGGCACCATATCAATCTCTCTGATGGCTCGTCCTCCAATGCTTGGACAAATCGCTTTTGGATTGGAATCTCAGATCCCCGGGATTATTAGAACGACGGTTTATTTGTGCAGACAGGTTGAACTTTAATTCAAATTAAAGTGAGGAAATCAGATCTATCTCGCTCATTCTAATCCTAATATTTTGAAGCCGCCATTGAGTATCATGTGGAAATGAATTCGTTTGCACTCTGGGCAAAGACAGAAACATTACTTTTTGGAGAAAATACTCGATATAAGATGATGAAAGATGCCAGTGCTCTCAACACAACGTGACATTTGCCGACCACAGAACTACACCTGCTATGTGTTTCTCACCCATCTGCTAGATTTTTGGACGAATTCAGAACCACAGTTTTTTTTAATTTCCAAAAAAGAAGCAATTAATACGGGCTTTTGTTAAACCTTACACGCTCCCTTCATCCGCTATTTGGCTCATAGAATAGAATCTCTACAGTTGGGGGGAGAAGGCAGTTCGGCCCATCGAGCCCAGACCGACCCTCCGAAGAGGCATTCCACGTTCATTCCAGACCCACCTTATCCCTGCATTTCCCATGGCTAAGCCACCAAGCTTGCACAGTTTTGGATTGTGGGAGGAAACCCACGCAGATACAGGTACAAACTCCACACAAACAGCCGGCCGATGGTGGAATTGAACCCCCGTTCCTAGCGCTGTAATGCAACAACGCTGACCACTGAGCCACCGTGCCACTGCCCGGAAGGGCAACTGAAGGTTAAGGTCCAATTGCTGAGAACTCCTGGTATGTCCTGACACAGTAGCTGCACCGTATATGCTCACGGTTAAGCGCGAGACCCTTCAGCCCAGCGTAGCCCTGCTGGGTCCTTGAAACAATCAGGAAAAGGCCATTCGACCCCCTATCCCACTCTACCATTCAATAGGATCCACATCCCAGCTTGTACCCAATGACCTTTCACCCCCGTGTCATCAAGAACTTATCTCCCTCTGCCTTGAAGAAAAGATTTAAAGCATTCCCGTTCTGCTGCCGTTTCAAGTTGCAGAGGTTCAGAGCCCTCTTTCACACAGGAGAGAAATGGGTCCTCGTCATAGAGTCATACAGCACGGAAACAGACCCTTCGGTCCAACCAGTCAATGCTGACTATAATCCCAAACTAGGCTGGATCCACCCGCCTGCTCCTGGCCCATGTCCCTCCAAACCTTTACTGTTCACGTACTTATCCAAACGTATAAACTTACATCAGGTCGCCTCTCAACCTCCTGCGCTCCAGTGAAAAAAGGCTATCCAGCCTTTCTTTATAACTTAAACCTTCCACACCCGGCAATATCCTGGTAAATCTCTTCTGAACCCTCTCCAGCTTAATAATATCCTTCCTATAACTTATCTGAGTTAACTTTGCTCTTCCTCAGTTTTAAACTGTGTCCCCCTTCGTTGTAGTTACCCGCAGGAGGGGAGGGGGTATGAAGATTTTTTTTATCCTTTCACCTTAAAAATATGCCCTAGTCTTGAAATTCCCCCGTCCTAGGGAAAAGTCACCTACTATTAAACCCTATCTATACCCCTTTTATCAAGTCACCTCTCAACCTCTTAGGCAGTGTCCCGCCTGTCCTACACACAACAGATACCAACAGGAGCACAGCAAGCATCAAATCTGGTACATCTTGATAAGGAGGACGGTGTGTGATTGGGAGTGGGGGACGTAGTGTTGGAGGGGTGGGGAGAGGGGAGGGAGCCCACCGCAATCTATATCGTCACAGGGCTGTTGTTGCAGAGAAACCTGACCCCACCCCCACCCACCCAACTCTGAACCAAAACCAGAAATAGCTGGAGAAACTCAGCAGGTCTGGTAGCAACTGTGGAGAGAGAGAGAGAAAGCAGAGTTAATGTTTTGGATCCATTGAGGATTCTGAAGGAAGGGTCACTGGACCCGGAAATGTTAACCCTGCTGTTTCTCTCTCCACAGATGCTGCCAGACCTGCTGAGTTTCTCCAGCTATCCCTGTTTTTTTGTACCGGGCCCAGTGTGACCCCGCGCTGCCAGGTGGTGTTAGTGGGGGGTGGGTTGGGGGTGAGGGGGGTTGGTGGGGCGGGTTGTTCAATCCAGAACCACCCTCACCAAGCGGATGGGCGGCAATTCGGGATGGAAAATAAACGGTGGGCCCAGCCAACCACATCCTGAGAATAAACGATTTTCCTGTCATCGAGTCATGGAGCTGTACAGCACGGAAACAGACCCTTCGGCCCAACCCGTCCGTGCTGACCCAGATAACCTAAATTAATCCAGTCCCATTTGCCAGCATTTGGCCCATATTCCTGTAAACCCTTCCTATCCATGTATCCATCCAGATGCCTTTTAAATGTTGTAATTGTACCAGCCTCCACCACTTCCTCTGGCAGCTCGTTCCACACACGCACCACCCTCTGTGTGAAAATGTTACCCCTCAGGTCCCTTTTAAATCTTTTCCCTCTCACCTTAAACCTATGTCCCTCCAGTTTTGAACTATCCCACCCCAGGGAAAAAGACCTTGTCTATCGACGTAATTCCAGGGATTGTTGGGCCCGGCGTCCATGAGAGGGTCAGGGATGGTGTGAAGCCAGGAATGGTATGGGGTCACGGATGGTGTGGGGCCAGGGATGGTGTAGGGCCAGGGATG